TCAATCATTTAATATAACCTGATAGCATGAAATTCCTGGGCTCAGGCTACATAACAAACCCTCATGAAATCATGATTTCTCTTCCACCATTCTCTAGCCACATTAATTAATTAATTAATTTGATCAAAGTAATAACAATCATTCCCATATCTTCTAAATTCGTACCTTAAGAAATCATAATCGAATCGTAGAGAATCCCGAAGGAGTCACCCATGCGTCCAACATCTTTTCTAACTCAATTCACAAAATTCTCGAAACCATTGACACAAATATATATAAAACTAAGGCTAGACTAGAGTGACACAGTTAGGCCAAGCCTACTTCTCCAAATAATTGGATTTCAGACCACTCTACGAAATCCAACAACCTCGGGTTCTGGAGCACTCAACGAAACCAAACTAAATATGATCGCCTATCAAATGTACCAAGTACAACTAATCATCATCACCTCTAGAATGCGTATGGTCCCCCATCGCGAATATACCAAGCAGAACCATAGGCATAATCTCATCGTGCAAACAGTGATCACCTATCGCAGATATACCAAGCATGATCACCCCTAACAGTCCCTCATCGCGGATATACCAAGCAGGATTATATCATATAACTCTAGGTAGTGATCACCCATTGCAGATATACCAAGCATTATCACTCCTAGCATACGTATGGTCCCCCATCGCGAATATACCAAGCAGGACCATCCATGTATCACTACTACATGGTACAGTCTCATCATCACACATTATACCCAATTATACGTATACACGCTATCGATTCCACATATCAACCATCATCTAGTCATATGGAGCACAGCACAAAGAATTCCCCTAATTACTATTTCTACTAAAAATCTAATAAAGTACCTAACTCATCTCCTGACTTTCATCCCTATCACATACTAGGTAGTAATGCCAAGTTCAAATAGGTATTCAGTTGGCAATCATATCCAAATAATTATCAAACAATAATTAGATCTCATAATTGTCATAACATTCATCATAATTATCATTCACATTATTAAAAAGACAATTAAACACATATATATCACAAACATACTTAGTACACAAGCCAAATCATATGTAATAAGCATAGGTTTATGGCTAAATATATAAAAATCACATTTTAATAGAAATCATATTTATAAGACCAAATCATATTCACAAATGATACCAATATAAGAAATTAAGATAATAATCATATCTCATATATTCAAGTTCCTATCTAACTAATATAGGCCCACTAGACTTCAATTAGTCCCGTGGTACTAATTTTATTATTTAGAACGTTTCGAGACATGTTGACCACAAGTCAACTCTCGGTCAACGATAAGGTCCACAACTCTACGTAATTTGATCTTGAAGATCCGCACATCGGATTTCTGATCCATAACTTCCCAAAGTCCACATTATGCTTCTAAAATAACATACTAAAATTTCATTATGATCCAACAATCGGATTGTCGTCAATCACACAAACAAGTGGCAGTCCAATTTGATCACCACACCAAACAATTGAATTTCGGGAAACCGAGCTAGACATAGGTTCACAGGGTCACTAGAAGGTATTTGGTACTTAGACATCACTTGTGGACGGTCCCACGCACCGCCACACGCGGTGGTAGCCAAGGTGGAGGGTTTTGAAAACCCGAATTTTCAACATTAACTAAATGAGCTCAAATTTACGTGGTAGCTAGAGCTCAACAAGAAACACTTTTCACAACTAGGCCGACGATAAATTCTAACCGGAAACCGTCCAAAATCACCGGAGAAAACTGGATTTCTAGGGTTCTAAACACCCAACACTAAAATGAAATCACGAACCAAGCATAAAACTTGAAGATTATGAAGAGTAGATGAAGTTTCATACCTCACTCAAAGGAAATGGTTGCCGGAATCGCCGGAAAAGTAGTGGGTTTTGTGGCTTCAAACTGCAAATATGGAAAATAAAATGGGGCATCTAACACTACAGAGTTGTAGGGCTCGTCAAGAGCTTTCCATGGACACCAAGATTGCCCAAAACGGAGCTCGGACGGAGGAGATACAAACGGGTCAAGTTGGTGGGTTAACAGGTCCAATCCATCCCAAAACGGGTTAGAATCAGACCCCTCCCTTTCTTTTTCCTTTTTTCCTCCTGATTCCTTGTTTCCCCTCTTTTTTTTTTTTTCAATTCTGATGGTCCACTTAACCCCATATCGATCTGGGCCTCTTACCCACAAAGTGGGAGATAATTAATTCCTAAAATCTATAGTATCACAACTTCAAACGTTCCTAAATATACCGTTATAATCCAAACTCGCAAACGGTTTTCGCCTATGTGTTCGTGGTTTCGAGATATTTTCAAAAACATTACTTGTGATCTCGAAAGGTCAATGAGTAAATAATAATTTTCCAAACTTCACTCTTCGTAACTAGTTTAATTGAAATCTAAATTCAAATAAATTAATATAAATTCTTGAAAAATAATATAAAATCTTAATAATACAAATATGTAGATTATAACAGTGAAATCCATGAATGGGATTTCACAAAAAAAATGGTCGAGGATGGGTTGAGTTGATTCTACAAAAATAGATGAATACAAGTTAAACTAATTCTGCAAAAATGTCAATGACTGATTGAACTGATTCTGCAAAAATGGTTGAAGACGGGTTAAACTGATTGTGTAAAAATGGTAAAAGATGGGTTGAACAGATTTTGTAAAAAATGGCAAAAGACAAGTCGAAATGATTATGCAAAAATGGTTTGTGACTAATTGAACTGATTTTGTAAAAATGGTTGAAGACGCAAAGACGGGTTAAACTAATTCTGGAAAAATGGTAGAAGACGGGCTGAACTAATTCTGTAAAAATGGTTGATGACTTATTGAACTGATTTTGCAAATATGGTTGAGGACGGGTTGAAATGATTCTGCAAATATGGTAGATGACTGATTGAACTGATTCTGCAAAAATGGTCAAGGACGGGTTGAACTGATTCTAGTAATAAATGATACAATTAAACTGATTCTACATATAGTTTCAAAACTGATTTTGTGGAAATAGTCTTAATATTAGTCATGAATCCTGCATAATCCTGCAGGCCATAAAAGCTGCATAATCTTCTTTCGACATAATGAAGCAAAGATACAAGTAAAAGGTTGAAGGAGATATGGGTATTTTAGGTAGAAAAAGTGGATTCCGAATGGAGTTTTTCTCTCGGAATCCAAATACTACCTATTATTTGGTAGTCCGATTCAGGAGAAATCAAGAATCAGGTTCCCCATTTTGGATGGGTCCCAAGTATATTTTCATTCCCTGAATTACTTGGAATGAATGCAATTCTCATTTCCCTCATTTTATTCGCTTATCTAAACATGCCATAAGGATAATGCTAGGGAGCCCTAATTTTTAAACTAAATTTTGTAAACTAAATGATGTGGCTGTTAATGACTGGATTATTACTTAAGTGTTGATTAACGTATTTATTTCCTATTGATGCCACATAATTTGGTTTGTAAATTAGTTTAAAATTTTGGTTTATCTAGCATTATATCCCTTGTAAAAATATCCAAATAACTTTAAAAGACACCAAAAGAGGACATAGCGATGATGCAAGTACTTAAAGTTATTAGGAATATGATGAAAAATGCGATGTATTGGGTTGTCGACACTTTTCACAATCCTAAATTAATTAGTTAATTTATATATATATTGATTAGATTTGTGAGACTGGTATTGAGATAAAACTGAAGTTTGTAGATTAGAATGCTCATTATTGAGAAATAGAAATAACAAACAGTTTGTTCTCTCTCTGTCTCCCTATCTTTACTTCATCTTCTTGGGCTATATATAGAAAGAAAAGAAATATATTTATGATGAATTGTATATTTATTTGAATAGCTAAAGGATCTGCAATTTTGAAAGATTTTTTTATATTGATGATCTTCAAATAAAAATTGAAAGCTTTTTTTATATTAATGATCTTCAAGTAAAAATCAAGAAATTAAACTGTTTTAATTATAAAATTTAGGGAGTTTTAACAAAACATTCATGGTATTGTTCACTTTTAACGAAAAAACACATTTTTACCTTTAATTGGCACTATTTACTATACCTTTAAAAATGATTTTTCGTTAAAAGATAAATTTTTTTTGACTTTTCGTTAATTTTCCTTAAAATTTAACTAATGAAGATAATTTATTTGTAAAAAAAATGAGATATGTGTATTCCCCAAAAGAGGGTGCTGGTCATAGCCATATGTGATGGAATGAAAAACATTATCTTTCGTCGAATTGTTATATTAGTTTTGTCTTGTCACTAACATTTGCCACCTATTGCTGTTTTCTAAATTAAGGCCTGGTTTGATACTGATGTGATTCTGAAAAAAATGGGTATAAAAAAAAGCTGAGAGCTTTTTTGTGTTTGGTAAACATTCAGCTTCAGTTTTTTTCACAGTTTTACGTGAAAAAAAGCCAAAAACACAAAGCTGCAAAACCCAGCTTTGAAAAACAGGCTTTTTTTCACATATGTTTTACATAAAATTTTACCAAGCACTATAATACTGTTTTTTTTTTTTTCAAAAACACTTTTACAAAAAAGTTTACCAAACACTATGCTGCTTTATTTTACAGTTGCTTATTCTCACATCACAACAAAAACAGTTTTTTTTTTTCAAATCATAGCAATACCAAACCAGCTCAAAATAGAAAAAATTTAGGGAGTTTTAACGAAAAGTTCGCGGTGCTGTTCACTTTAACGAAAAATCACATTTTTATACTAAAAAATCAAATCTAGTACTATTTATTTTATCTTTTATTTTATTTTTATCATTAAAACTCAAAATTTTCAAACCCTTTCAATTAATTTTCCAAAAAATTTAAGAGCTGGTTTTTTTGGGTCGATAAGATAAGCTTGAATCAATTGCATCCCACGAACGACTTTTCCTTTCCTCATCAATACACATAAAAATTGTCAAAATAAAAAGGCGATGTGTTGTCTTGTCAAAAAAGGCACATAAAAATTGTCAAAATAAAAAAGCAATTTGCTGTCTTGTCAGTAGAGAAAAAAGGAGCTGAAAATAGTAACAAATACATATTTACAGAGAAACTAGGTATACAACGTGTGAAGGCACTACTGTGTGGGTCTCATTCTCCGATAGTTGGACGATTGAAAAGGGTTGGGGGACCAATATATGGGTATAGCCCACGGTTTCTTGCTACGTTCATTGTTTTACGCTCTGGCTCAGCGACAAGATTAAGAAAAGACATGCAGAAAAGGAAAAAAAGACCCAACTTTTTTTGGTTGACAACAAGGAAAAAAACAATCAGCAGCGTTCAAATGGCGACGAGCTCAGTGGTAAGTTCTAACCAAGACCATGCACTTCCTTCTAAATATACTCTTGTTTTTCTAAGTCTGAAAAATTATAATTATTTACCGTTTGCTTTTAATTGAACAATGAATGAAAAAGTATAATAATAAAAGTTAAATAACTTTTTACAATTGAATTAAAATTGAATGATGAGTGACCACAATTTTCTTGAATCATAATCTAGAAAAACAGAATTGACTACATAAACCTGTTACAAATTACATCTCACCCGAAGACCTCACTGTTGATGTAGGCATTTCCTTTTGATATTTTACAGATCGATCAGTAATATTAATATTATTTTTTACTATTAATTATTTACTTTTTGATCAACTGTTATTTGGACTGCTTAATCTTGCACCAATAGTGCTCTATACTAAATGGAAATGTGAAGTACTCCATATGATTCAAAAGTCGTTGATATGGAGTTGAAGATGGTATATATTATAAATTATATACATACATACATACATATATATATATATATATAAACACTTAAATTCTTAAGGCAAGGTTACTTATTTTTGTGGTGTTGTTTCTTAATAGTAGTCAAGATGGCGAGAGAATTCTCAATGTGCCTAAAATACAGGGTGGTGCACCCCTTGTCTTTATACAGGTGGTGCACCACGTGTCTATATACAAGTGGTGAGATTCTTGTGTTAAAAAATTAATAACATAAGAAATAAAATTTCTCACCAATTACATAATAACACGTAGTGTACCACTTGTGTTTCAGCGCAATGGGTGCTTTTATAGGACCAAAAAAGGTTTTAAGTTTCAAACCTTATGAATCTGAACCAATAATTAGACACTATTTATAAAACTTGACCAATAAGTATACACTATTTATGAAACTAGGCTAATAAGTAGACACTATTTATGAAACTAGATCAATAAGTAGATACTATTTATGAAACGAAACCAAAGAGTTAGACACTATTTCTAAAACCAAACAAATAGGTGGAAACTATTTATGAAACTAGACCAACAATTAGATACTATTTATGAAAATGGACCAAGAAACTAGGGACTATTTACGAAAGTAGACCAATAACTAGACACTATTTATGAAACCGGAATAAAAAACATACACTATTTATGAAAATGTACAAATTACTATACACTATTTATAAAACTAGACCTAATAACTAGGCATTATTTATGAAAACATGACCAATGTCGATGCAAATTTTCGCTGTCTTCAGTCTTGACGAAAATGCACCTGCAAAACAATCAACACCTTTGATCAAAGACTTAAGCCTCACGCACCCACGAGATAGGGAGGTTAGGTCAATGAATCTCCGATGCCTAAGTTAGTTTCTCAGAGAGAGTCTTTTTTAGGGTTGCAAAAGCTCTCCCAGACCCTGCGTAAAGCGAGAGCCTTGTGCACTGGGTACGACCTTTATTTTAGAGGTCGCACTTGGTGCGATGGCAAGTGCCTTCGCCCATGAGCGGTAGGTCTCGGGTTCGAGACTTGGGAGCAGCCTCTCCATAAATAGGGGTAAGGCTAGCCGACATTCACCTCTCCCAGACCCTGCGTAAAGCGGGAACCTTGTGCACTGGGTACGACCTTTATGAGGTATTTATAGAGATAAGGCCGACCACAATATTAAGATTTTACCCTACACATGGCAGCATCCTATTGGCCAAGGTGTTTATGGCAAAATATTCTCAAAATATTCTCAAGATATTAAATAGGAAATAATATATTGAGATAATGGTGTAATTATCTAATTTATTTAAATTGAGATTACTTACTTGATTTGAGTCAATCTTTAATTGGGAATGTATTAAAGATATAATTTGGGTATTAATCCTTATCTTTAATTTCTTGTCAATGGTGACACACCCCGATCCTAGAATCAAGGCGTGCTGGCCGTCACGTGAGCGTGACGTAACCAAAAGTGCGATGCGGAAGCAAAGATAAAAGAAATACGAATGAATAAAAACCAATTACTAGCAATAATATCCAACTAACATGCTAAAGTGAGTTTAAGTGTGAAACACACATATTCAGAGCATAAATACTAGGTGCAATCAAGTAGGACCATAACTAAATTACAACACCCGAAGGTGAGTCCTACATTTAGTAGTCTGTTAGAATGCCGTGGGAATCATCGGGAGCCACCAACACAGCTAACTAGAACCTGGAGTGGCGCAAAACAAAATTGAGTGGGTCAGTAAAACAAAGTTTTTCGAAAACATTTTATTTAGGGTAAAAGACTGTTTACTACCCTCATGTTTTGTGGTTTTCAACATTTAGTACATCAAGTTTTTTTCGTCTCAGATTCATACCTAAAGTGTAAATTTTGGGACAGTCTCATACATCCGTTAGTCAAACTGTTAAGTTTTCCGTTAACTGTGACGTGGCGCACTGACTGGGCGCCACGTGTCATCCACTTTTTTTTTGTTTCTTTCTTTGCTTTTCTTCTTCCTTCTTCTTCCTCCGACTGCAACTTCTTCTTTTTTTTCTTTTTTTTTTCTTCTTCCTTCTCCTTTAATTAATCCTTTCATTATTAATTTCAACACGAAAGACTTGAATAAATGGATAAACATCAAATACAGCGTATTTGCGAAGTGATGTGCACGATCAGATATGACATTAGTAGTTGGTAATAAAACCGTTAACAATTATTATTTTTGTTTATATTGAAGGGTTTCAAATCCGACATTAACGCCAGTTATTATTTTTATTATTATTATTTTATTAATATTTTGAAAGGTCTTAAATCGTAGACGTAATCTACTTTTATTCGTGACCCAATCTATTCTCACCACTAAACAAGCCCCAATGACTTGAATGAAGCCTTTAATCAACTAGCTAGCTAGAAATATTTATTCATTTCTATGACCATCTCCAATTTTTAGGGTTAAAATTTAACATTTTAAACTAAGAAAATTCATACTTTAACCTATAAATAGTTTTTTTACTCTAATGGTTCTAGATTAAAATTTTAGTGTGAGAGTATAAAAAATGAATTTAGGCTAATTTTTGTAGGTAACTTTTTTTCAAAATAAAATTTATGTAGATTATCATAATTTATTTTTATGAATATGTTAACCAAAAAATATTTAGAATCCAAAAAAAGTTGAAAATTCACTAAACCAGCCCCATAAAATATGTATTTATAGAAATTTTGGGTGAATTATGATTTAAATATATTTTATTTGTCTTAGCCATTAGATTTAATTTTGGACTATTACATTTTTTTTTACCGTTATATTTGATCATATTCAATCTCAGTCGTTGAATTTAATGTATTTACAAATTTAAAATTTTATGTTTAATCTAAAACTTATTTTAGACCCAATCATTGAAGAAGAATTTAGACTTAGTTAGTTTAAAATCTAAATTTTGATGGGCCAATTTTTAAATTTGGCGTAAATTATGGGTTAAATTTGCTCAAATTTTAAAATTTAACCCAAAAGATGAACAGATCTAACCATTGAGACGAGTCTAATATGAATACAAGTTATCCAAATGCTCAAGCAAACACTTGCAGCATTTACATATCCTTACGCAATAATAACTTGAAAATAATGTGCATGGTTTTGGAGACAGTTCTTTCATTAATGGTTTCTGGTTGGGTATTTGCAATCGGTAGAGACTTACTCTGTAATTAGGGATTTGACATTTTGTCAGGCGTCATGGATGAACTCATCTGAGCACTTAATGTGGTTGATGAAGATGGATTGTCTACCCTTTCATTTCCATACTCTTTTCATCACTTCTTGTTTGTATGGTTACGGTTAAGTCATGTCAACATTTAATATTTCTATTACTTTTTATTTTATTATTTATATAAAAAATTAATTTAAAACATTGACGTAGCTTAATCGTGATCATATATTGCAGGAGGGCATGAAGAATGTATGGAAATGGGAAAGCAGACAATCCACCTCTGTGGTTGATGGGCACTTTATGGTTGATGCGTACTTATGAGCTAACCCTTGACAATGCCGTTATTAATACAAGTTTTGAAATGGATGGGGATTCTATCCGAATTCTTTTTATGAGGATTACGATAATTATTTTATTACGTCTGTTCATTGTATTATTTGGTTAATTATCGTAAAATATTATATATATTTAATTTTAAATTTAAAAATTTAAAATAATTTTTAACTTCAGAATAATAAATAAGCGGACATGATAAATATCCTGACAGAAAAGATCCGGATAGGATCCTATAATCTGGTCTGCATTCTTACACGTAAACTTCAACTCATGGACTGATGAAAGTAGTGGGTTAATCCTAATCCTATGAAATAGAGTTTTATAATATTAGTTGAACCTCCTGAATATTATTGAGGGATCTCGCTTCTCTGCCCTCCCACTTCTTATACATTCTTATCTTCTTCTATTTATGCGATCACGGTTAAACTATGTTAATATTTTATATTACTATTACTTTTTATCTTATTATCTTTATAAAAAAATCAATATAAAATGTTAAGATGGCTTAACTGTGATCGCACAAAATAAGAGGAGATGAGAGTATATGAGATGTGGGAGTGCAGAGAAGCCGGGTCCATTATCACCTGACTCTAAGTTTCTGATAGCCGCCGTACGTGCATAAAGTCTACAGAGCTAAATCCCTTTACTTATTATTAACTGAAAGCATTAGCTAAAAAAAGTAAAAATCTAAGGGTGTGTTTACGTGTATCCGTAATTAGAATGAAAATGTGGAATTGAATTTCGATTACGGAATACCTCGGTGTTTACTAAACATGAAGGAATAAAAAAAGTAGTGGGGCCCACACAAATTTTGAAATTCAATTCCTTGTATTGGTGGAATTGGATTCCCTAGATGCATGTGATAATCTAATTTTTGATTGCTTAGACAATCGGAATAACATTTTTGTTCTCTTTATGCCCTCATTTACTTTTTTTATTTCCAAGACTATCCTTTATAAACTCATTAACCCTAGTTTAATCATACACAACTCCTTAATTTTTTTATTTCCAAACTCATTCACATTATGCACAACTTCATGCTCATTCACATTATGCATAACTTTATGCATATGCCGAAGAGAAGAAAATACAACTTGAGTGAGAAAATTTAAATATTAAAGTAAATACTTAAATTTATAAAATAAAAAAAAATAGCAAAAGCATTTTAGTATGTCTATGAAATAAAAAGCAATTTAATTTTTTTTTCTTACTATTATATATTATATCAAATTTTATTAAAAAGGTATATAAAATATTTGATTTGGGACAAGGGCATTTTAGTAATCATACTGGTTTATATTCTAATTTTGCTGAATTAGTAAACAGTTTTATATAATTCTATTCCGATTTCAGAACATTTAATTAAACAGCTTCATCAGGAATCTGATTCTGACTTCTCATCATTCCAACTCCTCCTCAATTCAATTCTTCTTATTTTCATTACGGATACATAAACTTGCCATAAAAGCATTACGCTTTGATATGCCTACAACATAAGAAGATGGATTCCGGTTGTGAGTTATTCAAGTATTTACTAACTGTAATCTTAACAAAAATGGGGCCTACACAGATAAGGAATTCAACTCCCAATTTTGAAAAAAAATAGTGTCTTTGGAGGAAATGGTAATATTTTGATTCCTGAATATATGTACTGCTAATTTCTTACTGTGAAGGATCTCACATAATTTTCTGATCAGAAGAGGTCCTAGGTAGGTTTTTGTAAATTTACTTTAATCTATTACGTTTTGGCCTTTTAACGATCTCATATGTGTTGTAGATTTCAAGTGATATTTATATACATCCTAGTTTATTGTATGTGGTTCAATATATTAGTGGATATGATGTTGAGTTTCTAATCATGCATCTTGAGTATAAAACTTCTTAAATAGTTGTAATAGTTTTGAATATTCTTCCTTAATAATAATAATATATTTAAAATATACAAAAAGACATTATATACATCCTTAGTTTCTGAAAAAAAAAAAACATAAAAAAAAAGCCACAAAGGTAGAAAGAAGAACGTCACCGTTTGCCATACAAACATCTTCAAGCTGAGTCCTAGGTGGAGTTTTGCATACAACGATGAGACTAGCAATTAAAGTATATTTGTGTACCGACGATTATTCTATATGATTTTGTTTATCCAACTAAACTCTTTATTTGAATATTTCCTTAATTTTTTTTTTATCCAACTAAACTCTTTACTTGAATATTTTCTTAATTTTTTATCCAAAAATCTCATTTGACATTTTAAACTTTTTATAATTAGAAAGAAAAATACACTTATAAGAAGTGTAGAATGAGATTTTTGAAATACTAATAACAATTCCCTATAATATTTCTGGTTGGTTTTGATCAATGACTGTGTGCGCAAGGTTTTGAGTTATTCAATTTCTGAGTGCTATCCATCTTCCTCGGTGTAAATATAAAATTGGTTAAGATTGTATGCTCGTACGTTTCTAAATTGCGTAGACAACTATAATAATACTCATGCATTTGTACACTCAATTTAGAGATCTAAATCCCGATTGTTCTTCCTAATCAAAGTATGTACTAAGTTTACCAACTTATTAAAGAGATTCAAAGTGACACACCCCCAGTGGCGAAGCCAGAAATTGTCGAGGGGAGGGGCGACATTTAAAAGGTTTAAGGTCCTAAAAAATGTGGACATCCGTTCAAGGTCCAAGTCTTGGGTTGGCAAGAAGATTATGTGAACTACCCAGAATATTCGTAGGAGAATTTGCACTGACCAAAATATTCGAAATATTCGAAAGAGTATTTGAACTACATTATTATGTGGAGGAGGATTTAAGCATCCTTTATCCTTTCTTGTTGTATCATGTCATTACATAACTATATAACGAGTAAAGTTCTAAGACATAAGTGTTGGATGAGTGGTGGACGTGACCCAACGCTTAGGCGAGGATCTAGATGAACTAGGTTGTATGTATAAACAAGTGTTTATTTATTATATAGTGATAATATCTAAAAAAAATTGATTAAAAAACACATAATATATAAAAATATTGACAATTTTATTTGTTATTTGTTGAATTTGATGTAAGACATAAAAATTCAAAGCATTACGAGTTCATAATACAACACAATATTTTTGAAGCTAGTATGAATTTATAGTTAATTTTAACATAAATAAGATTGGCAAATACGTAGTTTGAAAACTATGTGGGCAAACTAATTAGACAATAACTAAAAAACAAATATAAGAAAAGTACATGTAAATATCAAGTTAGGTGGTGCAAATTGGTTGGACAATAGTTAAAATTGAGTGAATTTTACAAGCACAAGTGGGATGGGATGGGAGAGAGAGAGTCTCTTCTTCCTCCCTCGTTTTCTTCATTGGAACTTGAACTCCATTTCAGAAACTGAAAATTACAGGTCTCCCTTCCTCCTTTCTTTGGCCTTGGGTATTTTGAAAAAAATAGACAGCTCACGCGTAGTCTGCGCTACGCAGCAGAAGGGAAACCCAGAAAGCCAGAGCACCAGACGGAATTTCATCACTTTCGACGGGATCAGAGAGGCAGAACCACCACTCCTGGGCTTGATTTCCGGCGAAAGGAGGGGCGGCTGCCCCTCCTCGCCCTTATGTAGCTTCGCCCATGCACACCCCGACCGAGATCAAGGCATGCTGGCCGTCATGTGAGTGTGACGTAGCTATGTGCACAATGCGGAAGTAATAAAGATAAGGAATATATGAATAATTAAAAACCAAAACTACTAGAGTGGGCTAATAATCAGGAAGTGTTAGGAGTAAGATACAAAAGTAAATACTCCTAGTCAGAGCATAGCAAGTCTAGGTGCAATCCAGTAGGACAAGCACTAGTTATACAGTACCATAAGATGTCCTACAATTACTTCGATATGTCAGAACTGCCGAAGTCCTCAAGGTCACTAACAACAAGCTTACCTAAAACCTAGAGGGGCGCAAAATAGAAAACGTGAGTGGGCAAAACAAATGTTTTACAAAACCATTTCATTTATCAACATTTCTAACCCCTCGCTGTAAAACATGTAATATTTTTCCCATAATCAGAATATAAGCATATACATAAATATATATGTAAATATATCAATTCAAATCATGCTTCATAATCATATTCATATGTATGCCATGCCAAGATATAACAGAGTAAGCAATTCATGTAAGAATAATTTCAGAGAAATATAACATATTAGCCGGAACCTCTGTGATAGTCTGTACGGCTGAATTCATAGCTCAAAAGTCAATATAGCCGGAGTCACTATAATGACCTATACGGCACTATACTGCACAAGAGTCGGAACCAAATGAAAAGGTCTGTATGACAATACTGGGTGTAATATAATTATGCTCAATACTACTCTCACATAACAGCTGGGCGATAAATCGCTAGTCACCTACGAGTCAGAATCATAAATAAGGTCTGTATGACAAGATTGTGCACCTAAATTGGATCCAATATGAGCATATGGTGCGGGAGGTGACATTATAAACAGGCATGTGCCATATCTCTGGCTAAATAACAATCACCCTAGGTGCAGTTTCATGAACTCAACTTTAATCAATCACATATCACATCATCGATAATTCACATAACCAAACATAACTCACCTGAGCTTACCTGAGCGTCCACAGCACCACAATTATATATAATGCATCATATACCAATTCATATATGAAATATAAATTCATATGCATGACATTTAAGGCATACTTTCATTTAAACGCATATTTCTGGGAAAATAACAAGTATATAAATATATAATGAAAACCAAAAGCCCACTCACTGGTATGTCGAAGGGTCGTAGCCCTCGAGTCGCCCTTGAACGCGCTCGTCCTCGGGATAAGTCTCACCTATATGCGAATTAACTATAAAAACGTTATTTAAAGCACATAGACAAAACTAGCTAATAACTTCTCATACAATGCTCAAACGGGGTGTTTGAATATACCAACGTGATCTACACAACTCCACGAACATCCCCATATTTTTAGAATAATTTTCTGACCACCCACGCGCCACCACACGCCGGCCAAGGCACGGCCAGACGCGCCGCCCACGCGTGGGCACGTGCCTGGCACACCCACGGCAACAATGACGCCGTTAGGAATATTCCGTTAAATAGTAACGGAGTCCGTTAAAGTTAACTAACGCCGTTGGAATATTCCGTCAAAGTTGACAGAATATTCTGTTATCCTTACCATTGAACCTCCGGCGACCGTTGTCGGCGTCGAAAACTGGGTAAAACTTGAAACCTTGATATCTCACTTGATACTCAACCAAAATTCATGAATTTTATATCAAAATGAAGCTTAGAACAATTAGAACAAACCCATACCAGTTTTAGGACCTCAATCCCACGAGATTCGCTGGAAAACTCCTTGATATTCCGGCCAAACCTGCAACTCGCCGTTCTCGCTATTCCAACGTCCAAATTCTTCCAACGAACCACTCCTAGCCTTGTGAGGACCTCCTTAAGCTACCTATAAGCTCCAAATTCCTTAAAACCTTCAAAATTACGTGTGCATGAACAGTGCATAAAATCGAGGTTAGGGTTTCTTGGGTTTTCGAAGATTTCCATTCTAAAAAATGGTACCAATGAACTCAGAAGCTTGCAATGAACAAGAATCTTACCTCTTTGACGTTGATCCGTGAAGTTTGAAATGGTTTTGGGTGTTATCCGTACGTGAGGGAAGAAGAGAAAGTGAGTCCAAGGGTGAGATAGTACGGGAGAGAAGAGAGAGAGAGAGTGTGTATGTTCCACATGGGTCACCAACCAACCACAAAATAACATCTAAGTCCCCAAAGTATGTCACACACACACACTACAAAGTTCAACGCCCAAGGTTAAAACCGTCATTTTACATCACCGATAATAGTAATTCGGGACGGGCTGTGACACAAAGTGCATATTAGTGCGGTGGGAGGAAAGATTAGAACTTAAAGAAAGTTAATGTTTTTTTATAAAATCAATTGACAATATGGAGAGTGGTTTAATTTACTTATAAACTCATGTAAGGTCCATCTTTGCATTAATGTGAGATTCATTCTCAACATGCCTCATCACACGCGACGAATTTTCAAGCCAAACACGCAAACAACACTGCGGGGTGATGTGGGGCATGTGTGACTGTTAGGATTCACACATGGGTGAACCTGCTTTGATATCATGAAAAGTTGAGGTTCTACTATAAAATCAATTGACAATATGAAAAATGGACAAAATTACTTAAACGCTCATACAAGATCTCTCCTCCCATTAATGTGAGATTCATTCTCAACACTTCTCTATTTAGAAATGTCTACAAAATAAAGTACAGCCTAGAACTAAGGTGTTCAATTATGTTATTGTTAATGTTTTACAAAAATTACATACGTACATACTACATTGCAATGCTTGGTTCAATTATACAAGTTATCGATGGTGTAATTATCCAAGTAACACAAACACAGAAAGTGAATGTAAACTTTGAAGCATAAGTGCATCTTCGAATGAGATGTCAAAAGATAAACGTCAAATGTTAATTTGATGACTAACGTGACAATGCCAGATTTTCTCTTTTTTCTAACCGATATGTTTTTTTGTTATAAATAATATTTGAAGGACCAAATTTAAAAAGAAATAATTAAAATAAATTTTCAAGATTTATAATTAGTGCATTAATGGGATCCATACAATAAAATAATTAAAAATTATTTGACATCACATTTTCTCATATGTCAAATTTGACATATAAAAACTCATATATCAATCCACATAGAATTGATTTATCGGTTGGAATTTGCTCCTACTTTCAAATTTGATTACATGACATTCCATTACAAAAATTAAGGGAAAATGATCCTCGCCGGATCCTTTTCCTAGGGATCCAAGATGTGGAGCCAAAAATAATCACAAGGCGACACGTGGATTTTTGACAAAAAAAAGACAAAACTACCCTTGAGGTATACCGGGATTCCTACGCGCAAGCAGCATGCAATTATCCCTTAACCAAGTCAAAAGTGCCCAAAATAGGTATCAACTTAAAACCTAATTTATTCATATATTTCCCATTTCATTATTTAGCTAATCAATTAGCTAAATAATATACTTATTCCTTTCATATTTCCTAAAATCATAATAATTGACTAATTAAGGGATTAATTACCTAATCAAGCCCTTAATTATCAATTGAAACACCCATCCAAACCTAAAACTACTAAAATGGCCGGCCAATCCCATCAAGAAAAGTAAACCATCTTATTCTCCACCTTTTCCACTATTTTCCCTTTTTAATTACTCTAATTAACTAGCCAATTAATTCCAAAAACCACCAAAACATTCATTTTATGTTTAATAGCCAAATATTGGCTAATTAAACCTAAATCAAACACAAAAACCCTAGCCACCTCCTATCCCTATAAATATACTCTCATTCTCACCAAAAAAAGCCAATTCCAACACTTTGGCAAAAATCCCAAAATTCTCTAAACACTATTTCTCTCTAAATTCTAACTTTGGCATCGGAGGTTCTTCGGCCAAAGCCCCCCCATTCATCGTGGGCGCGTGAGGCTCTTGGCCTTAACCTAAGGTGTTAATTTTTTTGTAGGTGCAAAATTGTCCAAGATCAAGGAGGAAGAAATTTGCATCCATACTAGAGATATCGTGACTGTTCATCGTACATTATGCGGTCAGAAATCATTTGAAATTTAAAATTTAAAATTAAATATAAATAATATCTAACGAAAACTGATCATACGGTAAACGTCCACGATCACGTTCACGAAATCCTCCGGATCCTAGAAAAAGAATCCTACTAGTATCCTTTTCCAAAATTAAGATGTCCAAATCATAATTCCGTACAAATCGCCATCCTTTATCTGCCAAGGCGGCGTAAAGTTAAAGCTCATCGACCTTAATGTCCATTTCTTTTTGGAGTCTTATTATGCCAAACACGGTCAAAACCCAAAAGTTCATTTTTTTAATTTGTATTTACTCATGCATATATTCATGCATCCAGGAGACTTTGAATTCTCCATACAAACAGAAGTCTTCAAAGTCTCCGCCTCCTAATCAAGTGTTTTGAACCGGCATGCGACAAGTAGAGTAGAGATTTTCACTGTCCAAACATGAGCACATATGCCTTATATCATTAGACAAATAGAATGACACATGAAAAAAAAAAATTCTTCTACTTATATAATGACATAAGATGTACACCGTTCCGTATTTCAGACACATTAAAAAATCTGTAGAAGTAGAGAGATTGGGACTATCATCTTATATCCACGGGCTCCATCTTAGATTAAACTTTTTATTAATTTCTTGGGCCAAAAGCATTGAAACCTTAACTTCATTTTCGCTTTGAAGAAAACTAAACACTTCCATATTGCATGCAACGCGTTAATAAGATAAGAAGAGGGCCTACTGGCTTGGGACCACTCGAGCTGACGAGCACTATAAATGTAACACTCCCTAAGACAATAATCTACGACACGATCTGCTGCCATTTGCCATATACAACTAGTCTTCCACATATCAAAGCAAATTGCATTCTCTTTTCTCAACAATATTATCCTTACAAGATGAAGATTGAAGTGATTGAGAGAGCTTACATTAAGCCTTCTATGCCAACCCCACCCCATCTTTGTAAGCATGAGTTTTCTTTTCTCGACCAAATCGCAACACACATTTTCATGCCTATGATCTTTTTCTACAATAATAATCATGTTAACGATGCAAGAACTTATTCAGATAAGGTAAAACAATCTTTATCTGAGATCTTAACACAATATTATCCGTTGGCTGGACGTATCATTGAAAATGCCTTCATCGATTGCAACGACCAAGGTGCGCCTTACGTCCAAGCCCGAGTGAGGTCCCCACTTTCCGATGTCATATCCGAAGCAGACCCAAACCAGCTCAACAAACTACTCCCATGTGAACTAGACAAAGTCGGTGACTTGGTTCTTGCTATCCAAGTCAGCATGTTCGATTGTGGTGGCATGGCTATTGGAATTTGCATTTCTCACAAAGTTGCCGATGCATTGTCATTCATCACGTTCCTCAACAGTTGGGCGTCGATATCTCGTGGAGATTGCAACATTACAAATAGTACAGTCAGTCCTCCAATTTTTGATTTGGCCACGCTCTTTCCGCCTAGAAGCATATCAGGATTCAAACCAAGCACTGGGATCGCTAGAGAAAAAATCGTCACAAAAAGGTTTGTTTTCAGTGCTTCCACGATTGCTTCTCTTAGGTCAAAATATACAGATAATAAAGCCAATGAGATAAAGCCAAGTCGGATTGAGGCCTTGTCAGCATTTATATGGGCCCGGTTTATAGCCTCCACTCAAGGAAGCCGAACCCCAACACTCTTTACAGAGTGCTTCACACCGTTAACTTGCGGACGAGGATGGACCCACCACTGCCTGAATACCATTTCGGGAACGTGAGCCGGTTTGTCATGTCCTCGCCGTCGTTTGACGAGGGAGAGGACACGTGTTACGGGATCGTGAGCCAGATGAGGCAGGCTATAAAGACGATCGACGGTGATTACATAGCCAAAATCAAAGAGGGCAACGAGCTCTTGGAGTTTTTGAAGCAGCGAATGGAGGAGTTTATGAAGGGTGAAGTAGCGTCGTTTAGCTTTACCAGCTTGTGCAGGTTCCCACTTTATGAGACGGACTTCGGGTGGGGCAAGCCTGTGTGGGTCGGGTCGGTCAGCTTTCCATTTAAGAACCTGGTTAGTTTCATTGATGCTGGGTCGAGTGGTGGGATTGAAGCATGGGTGAATTTGAAGGAGGAAGACATGGCTAAGTTCCAACATGATGAGCAGCTGCTGGCATGTACTTATCCAGCACAAGATGCCAAGGTTTAGTAGTTCGTTTTGTATAATGCTATTTGGATTGAATAAGTTGTACATCAGGAACAAAGTCTGATTGCAGAAAAAAGAAGTATTAAGTAATGTTACACTTACTAAATATTTGTATTATCATTTGTATCATCAATTTAATAGATGTACGGTCCACGAACATATATGAATCTCATCTCTATTAAAGAGATGATACAAATATGTAGTAAGAGGATTTTTTTATTATAAAGGTATATGATTTACAATGTTTTTATTTAATACTTATCTTAAGGCATTCCTAAGCGTTTCAAGGCTATTGCTATGCAAAAGGTGGTATGTATGTACATTTTCTTTGGTTGTGTGGAAAAGATGCTTCATTCAAAATGAAAGACCACGCTAATTAAGAATTTAAGATGATAATGCATATTATATGGGTTTTTATCACAAATGGTCCTTAAAATTGACTCACCCCATCAAGATGGTCCCTGAAATTGAAAATCAATCAATGTAATCCCTGAAATTGGGTGTTGCAAATCAATATAGTTCTTCCGTCATAACTCTGTTAAAAATTATGTTATGTGCTGATGTGACAAGTGACGTGGCACACTTTATATTAAAAAAACTAATAAAATATTATTAAAAACTAAAAAAATCATTTAATATTTTTTAAATGTTAAAATAATAATTAATTATTAAATATTAAAAAAAAAAACCCATGTTTGTCAAACGGACTTGGATTGTCTGCCCTCCTAGTTGTGGTGCCCTTCCATGCCCTCCTATTTTGTGCGGTCACGGTTAAGCCACGTCAATATTTTATATTAATTTTTTAATAAGATAATAAGACAAAAAATAATTAAAATATAAAATATTAACGTGGCTTAACCGTGACCGCACAAAATAGGAAGGCATGGAAGGGCACCACAACTAGGAGGGCAGACAATCCTTGTCTTTGTCAAACCCCACCCCCCCCCCCGGTGCCCTTCTCCCCCAGCCCTTGCAACCCGACGAAGAAGAAGATAAAAAAAAAAAAAAAAAAAAAAAACCCTTCTCCCCCACCCTCTGCAACCCGAAGAAGAAGGAAAAAAAACTCTTCTCCCCCTTCTCCCCCACCCCCTGCAACCCGAAGAAGAAGAGAGAAAAAAAAAATAAAAAAAAAACCTTCACCCCCTTCTCCCCCACCCCCTGCAACCCGAAGAAGAAGAAAAAAAAACCCTTCTCCCCCACCCCCTACAACCCGAAGAAGAAGAAGAGAAAAAAAGAAAAAGAAAAAAAAAAGCCCCTTTTCCCCACCCCTGCAACCCGAAGAAGAAGAAGAAGAGAAAAAAAAAAGAAGAAGAAAAAAAATATATATTAAATGATTTTTTTTAGTTTTTAATAATTTTTTTAATTTTTTTAATATAAAAATGTGCCACGTCATTTGCCACATCTGTACATAACAAAATTTTTAACGGAATTATGACGGAAGGATTACATTGATTTGCGACATCCAATTTCAGGGACTACATTGATTGATTTTCAATTTCAGGGACCATCTTGATGGGGTGAGTCAATTTCAAGAATCATTTGTGATAAAAACCCTATTTATATAATTGGATTGTGGGGCAGTACCAACTCTGTTTACACATATATATACAACCATAATTACAATCCCATATACACATGTATACTCATAAGCATTTCCGAACTTCCTTAATAGCACTTCAAAGATTTTTTTTTTCCGTCATATGTATGCATCTCTGTTACAAATTGAAAAATTAGAAGTTTGTTAATGTAAATCAATGACATTTTTAGAGAAGATGACGGAATGAGAGTGTAATTATTGAGGAGAGAGCGATTTTTCTGAAAATTTTGAATATTTCTTCAATTAGTCCTCAAACGCATTTAATAAAATTGGTTAAAAACACACATATGTTGATCTACGAAATTAAGTGTACCGTGATTAAAACTGCCATACGTTAAAGCATACATATGACTATATGAGAAGAAAGTAGACATTTCGAATTGCTCATCTCACATTTTCCACTAAGCTGACCATACTAAAGTCTTTCTACCACAATTCTGACCATGCATATGGTCTGCTTCCTTGCATGTAGCCCGACTGATTGGGTTTGGGGTGGAGAGGATTTTGTAGGTTTTGGGGAATTCAATCACCCAATTGCTTGGGTAATTGGGAGGGATAGACTTGCTCTTATGGTTCTTCAACTGTTCGGGTGCTGCTGAAATGTGTAAATTAATTTCTTTATGTTTGTGTTATGTGTTACAAATAATGTTAACCATTATGGGTTTTATTTCTTCTATAATTTTTCCTAAAATGCTTTACACTTTGATTGTAGCAGCACTCATGTCAATATGTACCAAGTCTCACCTAATATTACATATATATGTTTCCAACACTCTACCCGAAGGAGAAGCTAATAATATTCAACAAGTCCATATGACCCCAAATAATACAATCGTTTTCAGAATCCCTTTGCCCTTACTTGTTAGCATGTGGAATTCTGACGCACCTTTACTTCACACGAAACACATATGCATTTCTGCAAGAAATAATTAAAGATATGTATTATATTGTTTGCTTAAACTAAGACACTTGAACAAGAGTCTACACCCGAAAATTCTATCCTTAATTATTATCTCACTGGAAAACTTATTCAACCTAATCTTCAGTTCAAGAAAAGGAAAGGCTAATATATTTTTAATGATACTTAAAAAATGAACAAACATGTCCGATTTTATGTTTCGCGAGTGTCGGATTGTGATTCGTGCAATTCATTAGTCTTCAAGTTAAACAAAACAATGGATGTTGGCATGGTGATGATTAAGTCCCATGAACCAATTGCGTTTTTGCTTTTGAAAGTTGTTAGACTCATCTCATTGTCTTATTTTTCCATCCACATTATAATCTCACACATCTTAAAAAATTAAAAAATTGAAATGTTATTTCCCCACCCATTATTATTCAAAAAATAACCTTTGATTATTATATATATGTGTGTGTGTAAAATTATAAAATTGTCTACCTGCAAAGAAATAAATCTGTGCGAATAAGAGCCACAGACGTATGCAAATTCAACTGAAAAAGTTTGATGGCAAAGATCAGTGCTAATACTAATCATAACATAGTAGGCAAAATTAAATATAAAACGAAAACTTCAAATGTAAAGATGCAGCAAATTCATATGACTCACACACAAAATTATTTTGGAAAATTTTATTTGAACACATGTAACTTTTTTCCACACTCAACTTACTCTCTTCACCCATATTGTTTTTTATTAAAGAATTAATCTCTCTTTAAACCCAAATTTATTACCTAAACTATCCTCTCAAACCCAATCAAAATGTTAAGTTATCTTTACACCCATTCATTTTATAAAATAATATCTGTAATTGATTTTTTTTTTTTTTAAAAAGAGGTGTCCTTGACCCACCGCCCTCTTCCCACTAGCATTTCCATGGCTATTTTTTTTCTTTTTGCTACCAAACCTAGACATTTGCCTTTTTTTTTCTACTGATGTGCATAAGCAGCAAATCAAACAATTCATCCCCTTATATTTATCAACAAGCAAGAGAGTTTATAATCTAAGAACATTGGTAAGAAGTTTTTCCTTAGAATTTTCCAATTCCAGAAAGTTTAACAAACCATTCGGGATTGATAAAAAAAATTGAAACCCAAATAGTCATCTTCGAAACTTTAAAAAAAATTGAAATCAAATGAACAAAATATTCATAAATTGAGTCATACCTTAGTTGGAAGATTCAAAACTTCAAAATCACCAACCATCAATAAAAAATAAAAAAACTTGTTTTTCTCTACAAAACCTATTAGTGTTTTAGCCAAAATGAACATATGATAAACAAGAAGTGATGGTATGGTTTAATGGATTTATTGATAAATTTGAGTTTTATTATTAATTTCATTCTGTACTTAATTATGCAATAGGGTAAAATAAAAAATTAACACTTTAAATTTAAGTTGGGTGTAGAAAGAGGTTACATGGGTTCAAATAAATTTTCCCAATTATTCTTCTACCCCTTCAATGGAAACATAATCTTCTATCTTTACCATAAAAACGTCATTTTCTACCTTTTCAATAAACAAGTCATCTTCTAAATCCTTTGGTTTTTTTTTTTTTTTTTTTTTTTTTTTTTTTTTTGCTTTCTCTAAATAAAAGGAGATGGAAAGATGAGTTAGGGTTTAAGGTAGACAAATCGTCTCTAAACAGAGCGTGAGAGCTACCACACCCAAAATTTTCTTTTTTTTAAAAAAAAAAAAAGAAAACTAACGAAAAGTCCAAAAAAACTTCTCTTTTAACGAAAAACCATTTTTAAAGGTATAGTGAATAGTGCCAGTTAAAGATAAAAATGTAGTTTTTCGTTAAAACTGAACAGTATCGGAAGTGTTTTGTTAAAACTCTCTAAAAAAAAGCAAAAGAGGGTAAGAAATGTCCTTATCAGTCAATTTACAAATAGACAAATTTGTAATTAAAAAAATTCATTAAAATTAGGTGGAAAGATAAGCCACTGGGGTGTAAATAGCATCAATCTTGCTTTTTAACTACCGTCTCTTTTCTGAGTAATGCTATTCATACCATATTTTTATATCACATTTCTATATCACCTTAGGTGGCATCTGATGTGGATAGCCACATCATTTGAAAAATTTGCAAAACCCAAGGAAATGAAGAAGAAAGACTTCTCGTATACCATAATCATCATTTAATTAACTAGTTTTTCTTAATTATTAGTTTATTAAATAATGAACTAAATTTAAAAATATGATTAATTTAAAATGAAAACTAATGAAAAGGGCTTGAAAACTTTGAGTTTTAATGATAAGAACAAAATAAAGGGTAAAGTGAATAGTACCAGGATTGATTTGTTAGTGTAAAAATGTGATTTTTCGTTAAAGTGAACAGTACCGGGAGCTTTTCGTTAAAGTTCCCTAATTTAAATGATGTAGTTGTCCACATCAAATACCACCTAAGGTGGTATGAAAATATGGTACAAAAATATGGTATGAATAA